TGATAACTTTGTTGTATAAAACTATAAAATACATCATCGCAAGTTTCTACTTTACATCTAACATTTTTTAGTAGTACAAATAAAAGAGAGAAAAGCTTCTAGAAATTTTCTGATCAAAATCAACAAATTAATGACTTTTTTTGCATATTTTTATACAATTAGTATACTTTAAAGCTAGCAACAGTGTTAAACAGAACCGTTGTCTTAAATACAAATACAGTATCTTAAAAAGAAAAACTAGCAATTGAGTCTGTACAGAACTATTATTTGCTTCAGATATGTTACTTTTTTCTCGGTATATTATGCAGTGAACACTTTTTAACAAAATAGCTATTTTTACTGTGATCGTACGTTTGTTTAAAATTGTTTTTTTTTTTTGTCAACTGATGTACTTTGATTAGACATTATAAACAGTCATATATGTTTAAAAATTTCAACTTACTGTAACATGTGCATTGCTTTTTCCAAAAAATTTTTTTTTTCTTTTTACATGGAAAATCTGTTTCGTACGTTTTCTTACAACAATTTTGGTGACAAATTTTACAGTGTATAACAGTTTCATGCTTTACAGATTTACTTGACGCAATGATACACGTTTTCAACTGCCCCATCGATCCGTCGACCCTTGGCGAATTTCAAAGAGGCCGAAGTCCGGCTCCTGAAGAAGAGGTGTTTGAGGAAAAATCTAAGGTACATCTTTCTGAAACTACTAACATAAGTTTACGGTACACATAACTGACCACAATCCTTTCCCAAAAAAAAAAAGAAAAAAAAAGCACTAAAATTTTTTATATATTTCAAAAAGTTTATCTTCAATACACTTTACTTAGATGCTTTTTAATCCGGCACATTCAGACTTTTATCGTAATCTAATTTAAGTTTATCGGGTTTCGACTATTCTAATTGTAATGCATTTTTGAAGAACTTCAAGCAAATTGATAAAATGCTTTTTTCTTTTTTTTTTTTGTGAATATATTAGTAGTATCTGAAAAAAGAAAAATTTATCAATTAAGAAATAAAAAGTGAATTGCAAAAAAAAAGAGCATAACCAACCATCTATGGCAACAGATATATAATAACGGAAGGAATAATTAATAAAAATGTGCCAGTAGTCGCTTAACACAAACCTCAGATTAAACTGACATGAAACTTGATCAATAGTTGTTGACCTCAGACATTCACAAAAACCGTTTTATCAAAAAGAAAAATAAAAAACTGAATAAGCAATGAATTGTTGTTTAAAAAGAAAATAAAAGATTAAAAAACAAAGAAAAAATTGTTTTATTTACTACTGAAAAAAAAAATTGCTAGAGATATTATTTTTGATCGATAGTATAGACAACAAATTAGATGTATAATTTAGCTAAAAACTTTATAGGTCGAAAAATCAGTTGTTTATCAAAGAGATGGCAGACGTATTGTAGACGGTAAAATTGAAACTGAACAATCAGCTGAAGAAGCATGGAGAGCTGCAATAAAAAGTGGTGCAATATTAGGCTGGAAAAAGAAGTGTGATATAATGATTTTGTCGTCACCAAACGATATTGAAAATAATGAAGGTAAATCGGTTATTTCGCGCATCGTTCGACCTTCCATTAAGTTACCAGTAAGCTTTCGAAATAATTAGGTCATAATTACCAGTTGTTTCTATGTTGGTTTAAATTTTTTTTTTTTTTTTTTATATGCACTTAACTATAAGATTTCATGTAGTAAAACGATAGTCAAAAATATAAACTGTTAAGAGGAAAAAGGGAAAATACATTTCTGCATTGTTTTTGCAGATGAAAATGACAGTGGAAGAGACGATAAGTATAGTAGAATGGAGAAGGAGCGATTAAAAATGCCGACAGTTGCCGGAACTCAGTTAAGACGTACCGCAAGTGCAAAATTTAAAGTTGCACTAAAAAAACTTCGTCGCTTGAATTCCAAAGAGTAACTGAAGTTGTTTGAATGTGAAAAACTGCT